AATTGTATACAACATTATTTTTTTATTACGAATATTACTATAGTTTTTTGTTATTGTTTCAAATGATGCAAATTTCAATTATACATATCCTACACCTATATTTGATTCCGCAGTGCATCTATTCAATTTAGAAATACAAAAATTAATATTTTAAATATATTAATCAAATTTATTTAAAAATTCAAACTGCTAATAATAAATTCTTGATACAAACAAATATTTTACTGGTTGAAATAAATTGCTAGAATCTTTTTTATTGAAGAGGGTCATATATACATTTTAATTATAGGTCAGTCATAAATGTGGCAATGCGTGATACATGCTTAGGCAATCATGTATCTTTCCATACATCATATATGCAGATTTTTATATATATAGGTTGCCATTTTTTTCTGCGGTAGAACAGTTGCCATCCAAGGCTATAGAACCCAATCTGTCCTGCTATTTACCCATAGCTGGATAAAGAGGAATCATACCTTTCCCAAGGGTGTTATATATATATAAAAGTGAATATAACGGATTCAGCTGGAATTCAAATTCAACTATCAATTCCTCAATATCGAGCCACCATCCATTACTCCACTGTAAATGAGGCAGATAATCAATATCTCAGTCATTATCATATAACTGGGTAGTGTCAATATGGTAAACAAATTTTGAGTAAATCCCATTTTTTTCAGAACACTGATTCAGTTCCAAATTATATATATAGGTAAAAATATTAAACGGAAAATCACATTGAATATTTATATATGCTTAATAAGAAATAATAAAAAATAATGGTAATACAGAAATATTTGTTAGTCAAATATGAAATTATTCAATCCTTGGCAAGATTAATTTAACAATGTACATAATAATATACATCTGAAATATAAAAATAACATATTATATTGGGCTCAGTCATATTTTGATCAATATTTGATCCCCAATCATATATATATATATATATATATATATATATATATATATATATATATATATATAAATTAATTGATTTAAAATGTTTTTTTTTTGCTACACAGTTCTAACATGTTTCAAAAATGGAAGCTAAAAGCCCCAAATTTAATTTTTGTAATTAAATTAAAGACATTAGTTCCATTTTATCCTCAAGCAAATTTTGGAGTAACTTTTAAAATTACTGGGTTTTAAAGACACAGCAAAAATCATAATTCATGTTTCCAAGGTTACAGATAAATCCATTTTACTAGACTAGGGGTGCCTGGGTGTTCAATATGTCTATATTTTAATGTATCAGTTATTGCTACGTTTTTGGTAGTGGGTAGGGATGTATTTTTCAATGAAATCTAACATCTGTTAAAAGAGTGTCGTCTGGATTTTTAAAAATTTTATTGTTAACGGCAAAAATTCTTACAGCATTTTTTTTTCCTTCGTATATTTAAAGATTTTTTTGAATAGGTGTTTAAGTTAGAATACTTTTTATTTAACTACGATTTGAAATATTTTTACTTTTAATTTTTAATATACTATATTTCTTTCAAGAACAATTAAATGTAATTAGAATCCCTTACAGTTTGTAGAATTATAATCACATCATTTTTATTTATATACGTATATATATATATGTATATATATTCTATATTTACATGTATAAAACAACCTTTAAATTCCAAAACTCACCTTTAAAAATTTGGGGTCATCTATAATTCTAAAAAAAACCATAAATTCTGAACAATGTTTGTCAGTAGGCCTTTGCTGTGATAACTAATAACGTACATGAAGATTCACATTATTAAATAAACTGATAAGAAAAGTAATAAAAATCATTTCTACCTTATATATTACTAGCATAACTTTATAGTAAATTGCCTATTTGAGGAATAATTCCATATCAATGAAATCAATTTGTATCCATAAATATCAGCTGAGAAAATGTAAACATCGAGTTATGATTGCATTCACAGAAATGAAATATTACTATTATTGTACATCATCGTACTGTTATTCACATTTTTTTGTGATTGTCAATAAAACATAAGTAAAAGGCCATTAGTACACCAGGCTGTTTGTAACTGTTTAGATATAAGAAAAGAAGAGGAAGAAGAAGAATCAGTATTCACAAGTGATCACATGATAAAATATAAACAAACAATGATTTCCCTTTTAGGGGACATATGTAGGAAAAAACATGATATAGAATCGGTTTACATATTTCATTTATTTTGAATTTCTAAGGATACAGTATAGTAACAACATTTCAAATAACATCTTTATATAATCAACAAGCAGTCATCTTATACTACAGGTGCAGGATCAATTCATTAAAATTTGCTATATTTTTTTTACCTTGTCTTATCTAAATATTGTCTTATACATATAAATATACAGTACTTTATATTAATAATAAACATTTTTTTCAACTCTGATGAGGAAAAATATGTATATTTATTAATATATAAAGGATATATATCTATTATTATACATCAAACATTATTTTATTAACACCAGCACCCATTGTGCAATATTTGATATTTAAAATTTTCTGTTTTATATTCACTTGGAATTAATTACATTGATTTATTGTTTCAATAATAAATTCAGTTGTAGCTCCTGATTTACCCAAAATTAACTTTTTTATTTTGCAATTTATGATTATTTTATTTTTTTTATATATTTGGGTTTTTTCAATGAATCTTTCTGAAGAAGTGTTCTATTGAAAAAAAGGCTCCTTTTAAAGAAAAAAAAATTTAAATCCATTGTTTTTTGAACAACTATATCTATATCATGTATCTTTTGAAGACCTAATTTTGAGACATTTTTTAACCTTTAGCACATCATACATGAGATATAAAATTAGTGTATGTATCCTCTGACAATGATTATGCCGTTGACCAAACTATATATCCATTTAAATTAGTTAAAAACGTACAGCTGTATTTAAAATAAACATTATTTTGATAAAACTGATGTTTTACTTAACTGTATCCAATAATAATGCATTCTAAAATTCACATATTAGTATTTTTATTATAAAATACAAACACAATCATGAATATAACATCTATACCATTGTTTATGTTTTTAAAAAAAAAATCTGTTTTTTATTCGTTTGTTTGAATTGTACATGTTTATACAACAAGTATACGTCCCATCTAACAGTACTTTTATCATTCTCTTTTACTTTTTGAACTTATTTAAATCTATAACATGGGATAAAGACATTTATGAAAAGAATATAGTCTATTTTATTTTGGTACATGAAAGGAACTCATTGATACATTATATACATCATAAAATTATTTTTATAAGTGAAAATTTGATCCCATGCTTATACATCAATCACATATTACAATTCATGATAATTATATGAATTTTTACCCAAGTCCACTGATGCAGTTTGATCTACCATAAAAAAGAATGTGAATTACCCAAACCACTAATTCTCAACATTTTTTTGGTCTTTATGGCTGTATAGAATAAATAAAAAACATCTGATCCTCAGGTTGGATTTTAATAAATGTCAAAATTAGTGTTGACACTTGAAATTAATAAAAAAGTCTCCTGAAAAAAAGCATTGTTGTTAAGACAAATTTCATCGTATGTTTAAGCTCAGAGTTTTCAAATCTTTATGAAGAATCTATTATCTTCTCCAAATTGTTGCAATTGACCGATTTTAAATCCATCTCTGCAAGCATTAAAGAAAAGGATTATTTATTCCTTCCTAAAGATTAAGGTTTTTGAAACATTTTTTCTGTTTCCAAAATATCAAATGACAAATCCTCCACATAAGTTTCTTTCGGTAGATTTTGGGCAGCCTTTTTAGTTATGAAAATAATTAATAATTATTCTGAGCTGACATTGTTGGATGATAAGATTAATGCATAGTGATTTTCATGCTGGAGAATTTGATCTGCCTATATTTCTGAGATGAGGTATTATGACAATCACTATTTACATTATTCGGACTATTGTCCTCATCTTTGTCGTTATATTTATTCTTCATCGTTTCGGCATTGTACGCCCGGCCTTCTTCAGGTGGTTGCAATGTCGAACTGAACCCACTTTCGTTCACTGGGAAAATTATTCCAACTCCAGGAATCAGCACATATGCTAGGCCACAAACAATCTCCTGAGCCGACCAAGCATAGAAATGAATACAATATGGGAACCAGTAATAAGGAGTGACAGAGAAAAATGATAATAACAACAAAAATTGCAATATGAGCTCTGGTAAAAACATGAAATATGAGAACTAGTTAAAAGTGGTTACTGAAGACAGTAGGTTTATAATACCCAGAAATTTATACACAGATGTCCTGATCCACTCGCACAGTGGATAAAGGCGTTGGTTAGATCCAGTGACAGGACCCAAAGAGTGTGAGTTCAATACCTGGTTAAGGCAGTGGAGAACTTGGAGAGGGGAATTAACAAGAGATAACTGACAACTGACATCCATTAAACATGGTACGTGGAACTAGAACAGTCTACCCCAGTGAGCGAAATAAAGGGTTCAGTTCGACATTCCAACCATCTGAAGAAGGCCAGAGCGTACAACGGCCGAAACGTTGCAATAAATATGACCACAAAGATGAAGACAATAGTCCGAATAATGTAAATAGCGTAGCTTAGATGTGGCACAAGGCCGAAAGTAGAGGGTATCCAGTGAGGATCGAACTCACTACTCAGTCGTAATTGTTCTAGCGAGACAAGCTTGCTAACCATTACACCGCCCCAAGGTGCTCTACACCAAATTACATATATAGTAATGTTGATTGATTCGTTTTCTATGGCTTTTCAACTCTTTGTAGGTTATTTAAAGCCAGAAAATGTTTATTTATGTTGTGAGATCTTTTTTTTTAACGATTTATTGAAACAAGCATATTAATTAACCCATAGCTGAGAGGGGAGAAGAGGTGGAGTCATACTTTTCCCAAGGCTATTTGCGCTTAAGTGAATGTAATGAACTCAACTGGAATTAGATCTTGGCTCTCCGATTAAAAATTTGAACCATTATCCATTGCTCCACACACACATCCAAGCTTACAACCCCTAACATTCCCACGCGGTCACCCATCTAGGTACTGATCAGGCTGGATGTTGCTTAACTTCGATAATCATACGGGTAACTGGTGTTTCAAAGTTATATGACCGTAAGCCGCCTGATGTTGTTAAGGGTTTACATTATAAACAATAATCATGGCTCGAATTTATCACTGACCAAATATGAAAATGGCTTCGGGGGAGAAGGTGGAGTCATTTTACTCCTTTGAGTTTACTACTCGGTAAATAAATTCTCATCTACACATACACAATATATATTTTTTTGTTTTTGTCGAAACGATGGCAATCACACAATCAGGCACGCAAAAAAAAAAGTCAATAACATAGTAATGATCCAAGGGAGATAAGCCAATGTTACAAATATTTCAAATTGGATCAAGTGGATACAGAAAGGAAACGACAAGAACTCCTATGCAACCACGTGAAGTAAAGCTAGAAGAAAGGAATAAACATTGATTGCAAAAAGAATGTATGATTGCGATCAAAAGGAACATTGCAACATGGAAATTGCAAATTGAAAATGCTAAAATCAAACAAGTACAACAATTTAAATATATAGAAATTGATTTAACAGAGGACGGAAACTGCTACACTGAAATCTGAAGACGCCTTTCAAAAGCTAAGAAAACTATTAAGAAACAGAAACTGAAACAATCTCCTTGAAGAAGAACTTAAAGCAAGAGAAACAAAAAAAGAGTATTGAACTGTTACAATATCAGTCCTCCTATATGAAATGAAATTCCTCACAGATGAAGAAAGAAAATCAAGGGAAACAAAGAAAAAGTACTGAACTGTTATTTAATATCAGTCCGCCTATATGGCAGTGAATGCTGGACAATCTCCTCACAGATGAAGAAGAGACTTAAAAACTGAAGAAGAAAACAAAAGAAAAACTGTTACGTAATATCAAACTGAAATGTTATTTCCTCACAGATGAAGAAGAGATTTAAAGCAAGACAAACGTGAATGTATATATGGTTAATAATATCAGTCCAGATGAAGAAGTGAATGCTGGACAATCTCCTCAAGATGAAGGAGAAAAGCAAAGAAAAAGAAGAGTACTGAACTGTTATTTAATATCAGTCCGCCTATATGGCAGTGAATGCTGGACAATCTCCTCACAGATGAAGAAGAGACTTGAAGCAAAGGGAAAATTTTTATGAAGAGTACTGAACTGTTATTTAATATCAGTCCGCCTATATGGCAGTGAATGCTGGACAATCTCCTCACAGATGAAGAAGAGACTTAAAGCAAAAAAAAACAAAGAAAAGATAATGAACTGTTATGTAATATCAGTCCGCCTATATGGCAGTGAATGCTGGACAATCTCCTCACAGATGAAGAAGAGACTTGAAGCAAGGGAAACAAAGAAAAGAGTACTGAACTGTTATTTAATATCAGTCCGCCTATATGGCAGTGAATGCTGGACAATCTCCTCACAGATGAAGAAGAGACTTGAAGAAGAAAACAAAGAAAAGAGTACTGAACTGTTATTTAATATCAGTCCGCCTATATGGCAGTGAATGCTGGACAATCTCCTCACAGATGAAGAAGAGACTTGAAGCAAGGGAAACAAAGAAAAGAGTACTGAACTGTTATTTAATATCAGTCCGCCTATATGGCAGTGAATGCTGGACAATCTCCTCACAGATGAAGAAGAGACTTTTGTCAAAGGGAAACAAAGAAAAGAGTACTGAACTGTTATTTAATATCAGTCCGCCTATATGGCAGTGAATGCTGGACAATGAAAGAACAGATGAAGAAGAGACTTGAAGAAAGGGAAACAAAGAAAAGAGTACTGAACTGTTATTTAATATCAGTCCGCCTATATGACAGTGAATGCTGGACAATCTCCTCACAGATGAAGAAGAGACTTAAAGCAAGACAAACGAAGAAAAGTATAATGAACTGTTATGTAATATCAGTCCGCCTATATGGCAGTGAATGCTGGACAATCTCCTCACAGATGAAGAAGAGACTTGAAGCAAGGGAAACAAAGAAAAGAGTACTGAACTGTTATGTAATATCAGTCCGCCTATATGGCAGTGAATGCTGGACAATCTCCTCACAGATGAAGAAGAGACTTGAAGCAAGGGAAACAAAGTTCTCAGAAAGGATACTTTGAATACCATGTACCGAACTTCTGATCAACGACGGCGTTCTAGAGAAAATGGAAACAAAAGGACTCATATACTTAACACCAGGAAGAGACAGTTGAAATTTCTAGGGCACATTATGAGAAAAGAAGGCTTGGAAATTTTGATACTCGCCGGACAGATTGAAGACAAGCCAGACAGGGGAAAACAGTGCATAACCTTCCTAACACGTTTTAGCAAATGGATGGCAGAGCAAGGTTTAGGAGAGATAACAAAATGACAAAATTTATTAAAATATACAAAGGAAAAAATTGTGGAGAACAATGTCTGATCGCCAACGTTCAGAAGAAGATTATCAATCCCGGCTCTTGTGGACATCACGAACACTTAAGTATTCAGGTGATTTATTGGAGTGTTCTAATGTTAACAGAGCATTAACATATTATTTTCTGCTCTTGTGTTTATATTTTTAGACATTTTAAACATTTAGCTACAATTGCCATATCTGTATACAGACCAAAACCTACAAACCAAAGTCCGGGTGGTTTTATGGTCTGATCTGGTGATCATTGACTTGGCCTTTCCCGCCACTGCTTGACTTCCGGTGATTGGTGCTGTTATAATGCAACTAAAGGTAAACACGTCATATTGTTGCATAAACTCTGCCCCATTTATCTGTGCAATTTTGACGTCGGAATTTCAGGCCCGCATAAATATCTGAAAAGGGGCGCTGGAGAATGAAAAGGTTAATCGAAAAGTTGTATTCATTGTGCATCCAGCCAATGAGTCATTCATTCCGTGTCCCTGTTTCTTCTTCCCTATCTCTGAATGTCTTTGTTCAGAGCTATCGAAAATTTACACAGACGATATGGATACGAATTTCTTGTCTTTTCACAGCTTTCTGCTCCTACCTATTCTATTTTTTCTATCTATCTTTTCTATTTTTCTGTCTATCCATCTTTTCTATTTCTTTCTATCTAGTTATCAATCTTTTCTATTTTTTAGTATATCTATCTATTTTTGTAATTTTTCTACGCATTTATCTAACTTTTCTATTTTCTATGTATCTATGTTTTATATTCTATTTTTCTTATAAATCTATCTATAGTATCTTTGAATATATATATATATATATATATATATATATATATATATATATATATATATATATATATAGTCGACTCTCCCATCGAATTCGACGTATGAGGGCCAAGCAGATCAGTTCCTAGGAAACCGACAGCCAGACACCAGCACATGTAATTTGATTATAGTGGTGAAGGTTTCGTGCAGGACCATCCACACTTTTTGAAGGGCCGAATACAGAGACCTGGTGCACTACGCGCCACAGGGTCCCCAAACGACTCTCCGCAGGTTTTGAATTCAGAGTTGTCCTTCTCCTAGACCAGTTGCCATCTAAGGCTATAGAACCCAGTCTGCCCTGCTATTTTACCCATAGCTGGAGGGAGGAGAAGAGGATACATACTTTTCCCAAGGGTATATATATATATATATTTCTGTATATCTATCAATTCTATTTTTCTGTCTATGTATCTATCATTTCAATATATCTTTTCTATTTTTTCTGTCTAAATATATATTATCTATTTACCTTTTTCTATATATTCAATCTTTCTGTTGATCTATCTTTTCTTCCTATCTTTTCTATATTCTTCTCTCAAGTTATTTTGTTTTTTTTCTATCTATGTGCCCTATCATTTCAATATATCTTCTATTTGTATCTGTTTATCTTTTTTCTATCTATCCATTCTTTCTATTTATCGACTTATTTTTCTTCTATATTTTTCTATTTTATTTCTATCTATCTGAAGGCTTTTCTATTTTTCTGTCTATCTGTTTATTTATCTTTTCTATCTATCTGTTTTCTATCTCTCTATTTGTCTCAATCTGTTCCTCTTTCTATATAAGCATTGATTTACGTTTACAGCGAAGCTCACGTCTAAACTCAGCTTCTCAATTCTCCGTTCCAAGATCCTATTTCTAGTTTTTATACGCTCCAGTGAGTCAAGATTCACTGACACATCAAGTCCCTCCTTTTTTTTTTCTAGCCAGTAGAGAAAATCTCGCTCATAAGATTGCTAACTTTTATCTTATATCGGTCCTCCTATATATGGCAGTGAAAGCTGGACCATCTCCTCACGGATGTAGAAGAAACAAGTTAACAAAAATAAAGAGATTGTTTAATTGACTGGCAAAACGGATAAGGAGAGATAGCATGAAGGCAAACATTTCTAAGAGCTACAAAGGATAAAAAATGTGAAGGGCCATAATCACCAAAATCCGTCAAATCAAAATGGAAATAATTCTTTTTTTTACTGTAATATTTAATGGAAGATTATTTCAAAGAAATGTAAGAAAACTTGGTATTGGAAATGTTTGGTTTGTTTTACGGCATATCAACATTTCAATGGGTTATTTAATGTCGACAAGAGTTTTATTGCTGGTAATATTTTTACCAAAATGTATTGATGGTAATATTTTTACCAAAATGTATTGCTGGTAATAATTTAAAAAAAAAAAGTATTGTCGGCATTAAAACCTATTTTTATACTTTCATTATTTTTCCTTTTGGTGGGGGCTAACTATTTGCCCATAGCTGTCAAAAAACAGGTACTTAAATTACTCTGGGTCAGGGTGGACCTTAAATTTAAACATCAATTAAGAGTTGGTTTTTTTTCTGATTAAATCAAAAAAAAACCCGTTTATGATCTTTTTGATATTTATATTTAGTTAGATATATTATAATTTCAATATCTGTTTATATCCCTTTAAACAGATATTATGATTAAATTTTCTTTTATTTAAATTATTCGGACTGTTATCCTCATTAATGTTTTGCTGATATTCAATGAAACTTTTCGGCCGTTGTACGCTTCGACCTTCTTCAGGTGATTCGGTGGACGAAATGAATCCTTATATCGGTTCGAAATTCCAATCATTTGAAGAAGGTCGGAGCGTACAACGACCGAAACGTTGTGA